AAATCTTGTCCATTGTGACATGGATGGACATCAAGGGCAGTAGGGTCAGTGGAATATGACTGACAGAAAAAAGACAAATTCTGCTGATCCAAATTTCATGTTGACTCAAAAACACACTGAACTCATGGAAACAGATAACAAATGGATGGTTACCAGAGGTGGTGCTGGGGCCTGGAGTCACATGTAAAAGTGGACAAAGGGTACAAGCTTCCAGAATGAAGAGCAACACATCCTGGGGATGGAATACACAGCGTGGTGGCTATAGTTAATGTACTGCGGTGTATTATGTGAAAGCTACTGAGAGTAGGTCTTAAGTTCTCATTACACTTGTGAGACTCAAGGAGGGCCTTCTGGACCCTGGCCTCAGCAGCACATTATTATCACCCCTCACTGACATCACACCGCAGGTGCATCCACCCAGGTCATAAAAGCACAGCCCTGCACCACGGCCATGTGCCAGAGAGGAACCATCTAAAACTTGAGAATTTATTTTGATCATTTACCAGAGTTTCTGAAGAGACAGTTGAAATTACAAGGTGGACTGAATTAGTAGATGGGAATATGACCAAGAGATCAAATTAGTTTTTGAGAAATAATGGAATAATGAAGAGTCACTTTCTTTGCATATTCGATTATGACTCTAAATATGTTCATGTTGTGATGACTGAAGTCACTAATCTCCTTTTATATGTGTATTACAAGGACTTATCAAAATTATCTAGGAAGGCTCACTGCAGACCCTCAGTTTGATATGGTCTATGTATGTATCATTTATGTTGAGACATTAAACAGCATTTAATGACTAATTTTAACGTTCATTTCTATGCCGATCTTATATTTACCATGAATAAATGGGGAGGAGCTTGAGAGTGTGAGTGTGTATGTCTTTAAATGAGTAAAACAAGTCTGAGAGTAAAAAATTTACCCAAAGTACATGCTACTAATAAATAGAAGAGCTGAGATTTGAACCCCAAGTCTCTACTCCTCCTAAGCAGTTGGGTAGGGACCAAATTAAAGAATCTGAAGTTTGTCATAGGGATTAATCTCAAAAATAATGTCAAGGGTAAGAGTTGTGCCCTATACCTGTCTCCTTTGGTATTTCTCGAACTTGATAGTGTTACCCCATGAGATGGGAAAGAAGAGATTTCTTCAGCAACAAATAAAAGGGACAGCTCAGAGACTAGACCTCTGAGCCTAGGCAGGGGTTTCTATTCAAGTAACAGGCAGGTGAGGGTCGGCGGCTGTGGTCATCCTGAGACTGAACTAGAACCCTGACTTGGAGAGAATCAGCAGCAGCATCCTTCAGTTCATACATCATTGGAATATTTCAATTCCCACTTCTTGGAATGATCAGGGTTATATCCCAGATCTAAGCCTGTAACTGGTTGTTTAGGTAGTTGTTCCCACAGGCAAAGACTGTCTCCTAGTGGCACTTGATAGTCATTGCAAGTATCTCCTTTCAGGCCTGACGGCTGGAAAACCACAGGGACACTACAGTCAGGGACCCAAGCTATGTCCCCCTCACCCTCCCACCGCCAGTAACCGACCCAGCCAGTCATTAAGTCAAAGAAAATAACAAGAAACACAACGACGCTACATCCAAAAGGGCCCAGCCTGAGGAAGAGCTAATGTCAGTGACACATAAAGCAATTGAAAAAGGAACTGAATGAGACAGTTTAAAGGACAGACTCAGAAAGGCATGGCATGAAAAGGAACAGCTTGAATGTCACTTGCAGATGGAAAAAAAGGAGACGGAACCTTACAAGGTACATATGAAGACGCAGAAATAGATAATACCAAGCTTGCCCTCGAAGTCCAGATTTTCAAGCATTTAGAGGGGGAAAGAAAGCAGGATCACTCATTTCAAAGAAGGTATCAGCAGATCGCAATTGCATTTGGCTGAAAAGGAAAATCTGCAAAGGGCTTTCCTGCTTACAACCTCAAGTATGGAGGGTATATTTTTGAAGGGACAATTTTGTAAATCACAAGAACAGGCAAGTTGGCTAGAAGTGATCATTCTAGCCAAAGAATTTAGTGAAACAAAACGTGTGCATGAAAACAATGGCAAATCGATACACTGTATGCTGGGAAAGAGCAGTTCTCTGATGCCTGAACTTAACGATGGCAGGACTTAAATTAACACTGTTTTTAAAAAAAAAATGACCAGGAAAAGAATGATGCGCTGGAACACAGTGAAGAGGAGAGGTTGAAGATTAGAAACTTTGTCTTCAGATGACAATGGATCACTGTAAAGAAAAATCTAAGGAAGGCCAGAGGTTCCAGAAACAAACGTTCAGATCAACCAGGCACAATCATTTCTACACAGAGAAAATTGGGAATGAACAGAAAGAGAAGGAGGCCTTCCCAAACCTTTGTGAACACACCTCCTGTCGATGGGCAGCCACCAGCTCCTGCAGCCGAGACAGGCTTCGACCAGAAACGAAATGCAAGTCTGTGAAACAACTAGAGAAATTGCTGACAGAACAGAAAAGTACAATAAATGCTAATAACTCTTGCAGGATGAGAAACTAAAGTGCAATAAATAGGCTGATGAACTTGCAGAAATGGAGCTGGGATGCAAAGAACAAGGGAAAACTGCTGACAATGTAAAACCAGAGCTAGCTGCAGCCAGGGCGGTCCAGACTTCCGTTGGCAGAGAAAGACAAAGACATAAGTGGGTTAATTTCATGTGTGTAAACACCCTCCAGGGAGAAGGAATAAGGAATCAAGAAATTCCAGCAGAAGGAAAATAAAGGGTCAGAATTCCCAGTGTTCAGGCCTCCGTGTCTCAGCACACGCTCAGCAAACGGTCACGTGACTGCCCACCTGGTCGGCAAAGTGAGGGAGCAGGTGGTGCGTCCACCCAGCCGAAACCCCAAAGACCCCGGGATAGTACTTGATGGTGATGGAAGGCAAGGCAGTGGTGACCAACCTGCTGGAAAGCCCAGTGGGCCTGGTGGTTTGGAAGACTGAGGTGAGAAAAGGAAACTCTGCCCCCCCATTCTTGAAACAGTGTCCATGGGGGCACAGAACAGGTGTTTGCTGTGACTCCAGCTTAAGTGTCTCCTCTCTGAACTAACATCCCCTCCCCACTGGGACGAGAGCCAACTCCAAGAACACGTGGGAAGTCCCCAGAGGCGGCGAGCAGCAGGCTCGGAAGGGCCTGTGCAGACTCATTTTCATCACAGTGTTTTCAGTCTTGATTAGTACTTCTTACTTTGAGTTAGCATTAGCAGTTCAAGAAAATCATCTCAAAGAGATGACAAAGGCGATCTCAGGTGTCACCTGCAGGCACCTGCTATGATGTTATTGAGGCCAGGGTTAGACTGAACTTGTTGTCACTAGGGTCAGTCACTGACTTGTCATGAAATATAATTTTAATCTGTTTTTTTTTAAGATTTATTTATTTGTTTATACAAGCACTGGGTACAGTCAGAAGCGCAGGAGGGTGAGAGAATTCACCAGAGTCAGAGCAGGAGCAGAACAGGCAGACTGACGAAGTACACTGCTGAGGGGAGCAGCGGGCAGCAGGGGAGGTCTGTGCGCCATGTGGGACCCTCGCCCAGCGGCCAGGGATCGAACCGGCGCTGCAGAGGCTGCGGGCAGCTTCTCAACCCAGTGCTCAACCGCTGCGCCACTGGGGAGGCCCAATTTTAATCTCTCTTAATCTTCATTACTTCAATAGAAAAAAATAATCTTACCGCCCTGACAGCCAGCCGTTCCCCTTCCAAATAGTTATCCATATGTCTAGAATCTTGCTATTGAGAGAGTTCTAGCATGTTCTAACCCTATCCCTTGCTGTCTCCACACTCTCTGCCTGGTTTCTCTTCTTCTCTGATAGCCCTTTGAGAAAAGACCTCTTTTGCTCCAGGCTTTGCTCAAATAACACCAAATCTATGTAGAGAATATGCTCCTCAAACTGGAATGTGACCCTTCTCCAACTAGGGGTTACACAATCCTAAGATTCTGTAATATCCTAACCAGAAATCCTCAGGGAGTGCAATGCCACCCAGGTCCGCTCTTGGGCTGAAACACACTTGTCTCGGCGTCTGGAAATACGAGCCGCTGGTAATTCATGCATATGACTCTGCTGGGGAGAGGCCCTTGACTTCAGGGAATTGCTGTGTCCAGAGTCATGCCCCTCACAGCAGGTGGCACATGGGCACTGATGCCCATCCAGGCGCACAAAGCGAACTCCCTTGTCTCAGTGTGGAACAAATCTGAAAGGCCATCTCAACAACAGAGCTCTCAGAAGTGGCTGAGGCATCACTGTAACTGCATTATTGTCTTCTCTCTCGCCCAATTCTGTCTACCTAACTTTGTAGGTATAGCTCCGAAAAGCCATCAACAATTAGTCTTCTGTATCTAACTTTTTGTCTGAGTGGTTTCCAGGAAACCAATCAAGAGAGTGTCACAGTGGGTCTAAGAAGCAGACCAAGGAGAAACGGGTGGGCACTGAGATTTTCTTATTAAAAAAAACAAACAAAAAAAAAAAAACAAGAACTCTTAATGAGCATTTCAGTACATTTTAAAAATCTCATGGCGCTTGATAGTAGAGGACATACTCTTTGTTAAATCCCTGGAAGTTTGAAGAAATTCCTCCGCCTGTGACTGTGGGAATGTGCAAGATTCTACCACTTGTGCTCGTGTCCAGAACAAGAACCATTTTCCCCTCCCTACCCTCCCAGGCTTTGTCCGCAGGTACCACAGGGCCTGGCTGCTGGCCGCCATCCTCCTGGGTAGCGCATCAGCCCCACCTCACAGTAGAGGGCAGCAAAGCCCCATATTCTGATCCCAGAGACTGTCAGGTTCTCGCAGGCTCAGGGCACTGAATTTCAGAGAACTTTGTCACTCAAGACTAAAATCAGTTGAATTATCGGGCTGGAATAAAGATTGTCAATAATTGGCAATGGTAAAATCCAAAACTATGGAGATAATGACTCCTGAAATAGCTCCAAAGCACAAGGAAACATACCCAAGACACATTCTAGCTCACCTACCTCTGTGCTTCATTTTCTGAAATCTCTGAGGCAGTGAGGAAAATGTTTTACTCCAGGAAGGCTGTCACCTCCAGGAGCTCCTCCAGACATCCTCCCATCGAGGTCACAGCGGCTCTTCTGCGCTCATTGGCCAGAGGTCACTAGGAAATAAATATGATGGTCAAGGTCAAGGACCTCAAGAAAATAGGAGAACACAGTAGGTTTTCCCTCCATCGAAGGTCAGTATCTGTAGTCTGAAAGTCACTAACTTAGGTACCAGTGAGTGTCTCATAACGATCAAGGAGAAATTAGTAACATGCATCGTGTCTCAATGTCCACTGCTGGTCAAGTTTATGCCTCCATGCATCCGGCAAGGAGCCTGGCAGATTAATTACATAAAGCAACGCGATCACATAAAATCTGTCGGCAGAATACCTGCCAGGAGAATGGACACAATCAAGGAGCAATCATACATGAAACTCTTTCTAATGTTCTCAGAAAAATAAGCAGATAGAGGGAATCACAAACATCAAAGGCAGGCAGACGTCTCCTTGAGATGATCTTATCCAGACTCTGATTGTGTGTCTCATGGGCTGGTATCAAAAATACACTTGTCTTCTGTTTATGAGGCAATAAGGTTCGGGGCACTGAAGGGTGGATCATTGACAAGAGAAGAAAGCAGTTGTAGGGTGTATTCCAAAGCATGTAACCATGGTTGACTTATTTTCATTGCTGTAGTGCATTCTTTTGTTCATATGGATCATAATATATAATACTGAGCAAATCAATACTTACAGATATACCTATATGATCATATAGATCACACTATAAGCTTGAACCTTCCCATTCTTAAATAAGATATGACTCTCCATTTTTTTCCTTAGGATTTTAAAAACTCTTCCAAAATTGCTTTATAAACATTTCTAAACATACCTTACATAGTTTGATTACTACATTTAGTCCTGGATACTTCTGGTTTCTAATTTCTCTTGCAAATGATTCATTTTTGTGCAACCACATTTTTTAAAACCATGAGCTGGCATACAAAATACAATTGACTTATGTTTATTAACATATAACATCATTAATCTCAATTATTAATTTTGACGATTTTCTCATAGCTGTGTCTGGGGTCCTTGAGAAAACAATTATATTACCTGGAAATATGATAGCTTAATTTCTTCTTTTCAAATCTCATGCCCCTGTTCTATTTCTCCCTCTGTCACTTTGTCCACTAGGACAGTCAATAAGTGGTTAATAAAGTTGATAGTATCCTGTCTTTCTTCCTATCTTTGGGAAAGTGCTTTTTAATATTTTATCAGCAAACATGTTTTCCATAGGATTGTTTTTGAAAGATACCATTCAGCAGGTGAAAAAGAAGATCTCATTTTAAAGAGCAGTTAATGATGATAGAATGTTTAATGCCATCACATTTATATAAATGATTCCAGTTTGTTTATTCCCCCTCTCCACTTTCTCATTATGACATGGCGGGACAAAGCTGTCCAGACCTGGCCCTGGGCCTGTGACTGTGTCAGCCTACCTGGCACAAGACACTTGGGAAGCAATTCACCCCACAGATCTGAAGTCGAGGTGAGCGTGTGTTACTCACATGGGCCCAGCCTGACCATTCGATCCTTCAAAATGGAAAAGAGCAAAAAGGCAGGTCAGGCTGTTGTGGAGTGTGGAGGGCACCCAGACTGCTTGCTGGCTTTGAAGTTGGAGAACTATGAGTCAAGGAGGACAAAGGCCTTGGGAAGCTGGGAACAGCCCTCAAGGAAGCAGAGATGTCAGTACCGCAAACACAGGGAGCCAGGGGCTGGGGACTCTGCCAAGATCTTGAAGGAACCAGGAGAGCAATGCTCCCCAACACCCTTGCTCACCCCCAGGTCAAGGAGAGGAGACAGCGTCAGGGCCCTTTCGTTTTAGTGCAGTGAGATCTGTGTCAGACGTGTTACCTGCAGGACAGTAAAATGATAAACTTGTATTATTTTAACCCACTAAACTTCTGGTGATTTATTACATCGGCAATAGAAAACCAACACAGGGCACAGCACCTTCATAGATTCTTTTGTTGGTTTGTTTTCCAGCGCTTATATTCATTTTTGTTTTGTTGCGGTCTCACTCGAACCCTTAGAGAATTTGGGTTTATTCATTTATTTTTATTCTAGAATTTTATTTCAGAATGAAAGTCATCTGTCTACCTAGATATATCATTTGGGAGTACTTCGAACCAATTTTATAAATCCCACCTGGAGGTTCAACTTGCCAAGCACAGATTTGTATTCAGTGAAAGACTCCAGAGGATGCTGGGCCTCTTTATCTACATCCAATCTGTTACAGGGCAGGGTGAGGGGCACCCCAGAACCCCCAAACCTGCCTGCTTGAATGGGTGTGCTATCTGCCACATCAAGACAAAACATACTCTACTGCGTAAGACCTTTGATGGAAAGGAACTTTAATACAATTAGTGTGCATTAAAAAGAAGGGAAAGTGTACATAAAATAGTTTCCAAATCAAGCACCCAGTTACCGGTCCCCTCGTGGGAAACGTCCAGCCAAACAGGGCTGCCCAGAGCAAGGTCACCGAGCGCGTGAGAGCTGCCCCAAGTCTAAGGCACCTCCTGGTGAGGTGCATTAGGAAAAGGGCAGAAGGGGCTCAGCGCATCTGGGACAGAAGGAGCAAAATCAGAATCATAGTCACCTCCCCACAGGTCTCACCCACGTCTGTGTCACCCAGTCCAGGACCAAGAAGCAAGAGCAGCTTCTTCACACGTCTCTGCTCCTCGTGCCTCCTCCAGCTCTCCTCCTTGCTCGCCATCCTGCTTCCTCCCTTTCCCAGTCTCCTCCCCAGCTTCTCTCTCTCCCACCTCAGCTCCACCCTCCCTTGGGTGGGGTAGGGAACTGGAACCTCCCCTTTCCCTATTACTCGCCTTTTCTCCAGCCCCTTCCCAAAGCTCCATTCTCTTGCGGGGTCCTCTGAGGGCTGAATGCACATCTGCTCCGCCTGCCCCGGGTCTAGATGCAGTGGTCGGGTTTCTTGTTTATGGCAGGAAAGTAAATGTGTTCCCAGCTAGGACATGATCACTTTGCGTTATGTTCCCTGTTAATGTATGCATAGACTTGCTTTCGAATTATGCATCTTTGAGAGGCTCAGGATGTTTCTGCTAAATTATCTTTGACTGGGGCACTTACACACAGCCTGCTATTTCCTCCCCCAAATATTAAAGGATGCATAGCCTTGGCACCCTCCCTTATTTACTTACAAAGGCACCAGTGCCTCCTTCTTTAGATAAGGGGTGAAAATTGTATGTTGAGTAAGTTTGCCTGAGGGGTTTGGCTGATGCCTGGAGCGTATTCACCCTGGTGATGTTTCTGAGTCTCTCTGCAGAACACTTGCTGTTTTTCAATGTACCCTTTAATCTTGCCAGGATGAGGTCTGTGGGCTTTGGGTTTTATCACATAGCCCTGGTCAGCTGCTCACTTTGGTGAAGAGTTGCATAGCAGATGGATAATTTCTCCTGCTGCTGAAAAGGCCTGCTGTTGAAGAGTTGGTTCATGCCCACACATCACTGTTGTGGAGAGAAGAGCAGGGTGAGGCCAGAGGTGTGTGGGTGAAAGAATTCACCAGAGACAGAATTGGTTGGGGGAGAGGATGTCCCATACAGACTCCATGAACAGGTTTTATGGTCCCCACCCCCACCCCAGACCAAAGAGACCCAAGACACCATGGACTACAAATCCCATAATGTCATCCCCACCGAAGGGAGGATGCTGGGAACTGAGGGTGGAGTTAGCAGCCAGGCTTGGGATATAACCAGACATGTGGGCCTTGGGGGTCCTTGGTTTTTCACTGGCTTTCAGCATGTTGGGGTTCCAGCTCAACGGAACTGGAAGGATTCATTCACCAATTTCTCTCTCTGTCTTTCTCCCTAAGTGATTCCTTTTTTCATTTCCCCTTTTTGTAAATAAACCCTTTATTAACCTTCATGTGTGCCTGCAGTTGAGTCTCATTATAAGTCCCTTTTAAGTGCATGGGTGAGGACCCACAGTCAGGCCACCCCATTTCACATTGGGGTTGCCCTGCAATAAATGGATAACAGAACAGGCAGATTTATTGAAATAGTCTGCTAAGAGAAGCAGTGGGTGAGATGGGAGAGGTCTGTGCATTAAGAGGGATCTGAGGCTCTCTTTTATACTCCGTTTTCACGGGCTTTCTAACTTGGGGCACCAGTTTGCACCAGTTATCTGCAGGGATGCCTGGTCTCAGGTGCTGGCCTTTGACAGAAACAGGTTCTGGCCTCAGTGTCTGTGTTCCTGGAGCTCGGCTGGTTTTTCTGGTCTTGGTGGTCAGTTTTATGGCCTGTCCCCAGGGCAGCCTCATCAAATTCCTTTATCTATTCCAGCCTCCAAACCAGCCTGCTGGGTCAGGAGTGGGGGCTTAGTTATTAACCTAGCCAAATTATACCCCAATGATCACCTCTCCTGTCTGGTACCTGCACAGAGAAGGCAAAGGGTAAGTGCGGACATGCAGTTTCTGATGCAATTACAAATGACTGGGCTCTGAGATAAGTGATACTGGAATTGTCAGGCCTAGTCTCCCAGCCAGGAACAGATCCCAGGCTGCAGGGCAGTGCTGAGCCCCAGCCACTAGACGCCCATGGGTTGGTGTCTCACGAAGCCACAGCAGGAACTTCGCAGACGCTCAGGCAAGCAAGCGAGAAGAGGCAGGTTTGTTTAGAGAAAGAAAAAGATTATTGAGGAGAAAAAGAACAGAAATAAAGTGAGACTCCCAGACCAGGGAACCAGGCCTGGGAGGGGCAAGGAAGCCAAAGTGGAGTCGTGTCTCAGGGAATATAGACCTTCTTTCCCTAATTATTCTAAAGCTCCACTAGTCTCTTGGTGATTGGTTAGTTCTCAGCTGTCTCACTTAATTTGCTACTGAGTGGGGGATCTTCACATTCCTTATCTAGCAGGTCTGTCTTTCCCCATTTGTTACATCTTTATCTTTATGGCCCAGTCTTCTGGATGGGCATCCCTGCATTGAAGTTAAACAGCTCCCCTTCTAATGTGTCCATAAATTAAACCACTCTCCATTTCCCAATCTCTACCTCCCTTTACCACCTGAAGGAAACCAGGACCAGCGTTAACAATGTTGTCCTTGGCCTGAGATGTTTGTTTTTCCTAGTGGAATTGGTTACACTCCTCTTGCTGCCCTTATCTCTGAAGCCTTTCTCAATTCTTCGAGGTCCCCTCCTGCAGTGTCCCTAAAGCTGCCTAATTCCTAGCTTGCCCTGTGTCTCATAAGCATTAACAAGTTTGTCTTTCCCATATTTCTTGCAATTCCCCCCTTGTCTGACATGTTTGTCTTCTTGCATTCCAAGGAACACAGCAGTTAAAAAAGCAAGCTGGTGCCCACCCGCCTCAGTGCCATAGAACTGGAATGACCTAAAAAGTGTTTTCTGCCCTTTATGTGGTGTGTCCATGCTCCAGGCTCATCACCACCAAGCATGGAGAGATGGCAGAAGACTTCAGGATCTTTATCTTTTCTCCATGCTTATTTCAACTGTCGTCTTAAAGAGTTCGCTCTTTGTCAACTTTGGATCAGCCTTGATTTGGTAAAAATAAAATTGCTTCCGACCTATTGTTCAGAGATGGTAGCATGACGTTGGGACCGAATTAATTGTGGAATAGTGAAGATTTTCTACTTCATTTCAACGTGATGGGTAGCAGAGATTTTAGTTCATGTTACTTCACTACTCTTGCCAGACAAAAAGCAAAGTCTTTCAAAATTCTCAAAACCAAGAGAACAAATTCTCTTGTTCTCTCTCAAATTACTGCAGAAAGCTGGGCCACAAAACCCCCTCTGGGGTCACTCCTCTTGTCTTTTTTTCTGTAATTAAGTCAACACCATGATTCACCAGCAGTTCTTTCAAGGTTATCACAGTTGTAACTTTGGTACTTCCAAGGAGATGGTAATGTGGCTGGAAACAGTCTTTAAACAGACTAGAGGCATTTAATTGAGATTCATTGACACATTAAAATGCAAATGTTTGTGAAGCTTGTTGAAAAACAGAGCACTACTAGGTAACCAGCATTTAATTCCCAGATAACCAATATTTAACAGGCCCCCTGCGTGCCCCAGTTCAGCACAATTACCCGAATAGAAAATATTTCTGATTAGTTATGGAGGGTCAAATGAAATCAAAGCACCCTGGTGCAGTGTGGTTCATTACCAATAAATTCTTATCATTGATTTCTGTGAAGCCCAAGCTCGTAGAGGAATTTCTTTGAGTGACCTGAAAATTCATCCCTTTGCTGTTAGAAGACATGAATAGAATGTCAAAATATTCTCCTTCTTCCTGTAATTGTACAGAGTGCAAGTGTTCATACCTAAAATATAGAATATGGTGTGAATTTGTCTATCAGTATTTTAAATCTGACCTGAAAAAAAAAAAAAAGATAATTTAGAAATAGGTGTGTTTGTTTTACCTTAGTTCAAAGTTCAGCACAATTGAACCAAGACAACCAAGTCTAGGGACACTGATCAACTATTCTGGAACTTTTCAGTTCTTCCTTTTTAGTCTGCCTGGGATAAGGTCTCTCTTTCTGCATCACCAGATAAGCTCTCCCATGTCCTTTAGTTACCTTATGGGCTTAACAAACTGTTCTCTTACATTCAGAGGGAAAAGAGCATCATGAGGAAGGTAATAGCTAAATTGCTGACCACCAGGTGAGAGTGAAAGCAAGCTGGCATCAACCACAACCTCCAGAGGCTTGTGCACAGGGATGGACACTCTGACCCCTGCCTACTCCCCTGGGACTTTGGATAAATACCCTGCCCTATGCAGAAGAGCAGGGTGGTGGTCTTTCCGACACTAGTCTGTTGTTCTCAGAATTAAAGATCACAGATTCCTATAGTTGAAAGTGGTCTCAGAAGTCATTTATTTCATGAAGATTGTTCATTTCTCCTGAGACATTCCTCTGTGCAGGGCATCGTGCAAGAATCAGAACTATGACCTGATGGTGAATCAGGAAGTATCTCTGAGTGAGCAGAGGTGAGGAGAAAGCATCAGGTGATGGGGCCAGTGGGGAGAAAACACGAGAAGTGCATTGGTGAGGCTGGATGGGCAGAGCTGGGGCCCAGCGGGACACCCACATCTCAGCCCCAGAGGCCTTCCTCGTGCAAAGGGTCTGCTTGTGAGTGTCCCATGTGCTCCTGCTCTGGTCTTGGCTCCAGGATTGAGTTCTCCACTCTCCCAGCATCGCACACAGCAGAGCTGCCACCTATCAGCAGGCACTGAAGGTGATGGCTGCCCACCTGCCAGACAGATGTCACCTGTGGCTGCCACCCGATCCATCCACTACAGGACCCTGGCATGGGGAGACTGCCTCATCCAGTTATTTTAATGCCTTTTACCTTGCGTGATGAGATGGACTCTCTCTCAGAACTTGGGGTTAAAAATTAGCCTCCCAATCAATATCTGCCTAAACCTGTGTTCTCAGCTACCTCTGCCAAAAAAACACACCACCCTTGAGGTCTATGCTCTACGGCTTTCTTTTGAATATGCCTGAGGCCCTTTGAAAGCAGAAGTAGAAAACCAGACCTGGATGGCACCTTATTAATCTGGCATCACACCCTCATTTTATAAAGGGTGTTGGAGGCACAGAAGAGGCAGGGACTTCACAAGCACATGGAAAGGCAAAAGTCATCCTTGACCTCTAGGCCAACTCTGTCCACTCTCTTTGATATTTATAAGACCATGTGGCCATGAACTCAGGACTCAAAATCTCATGATCCCCAGCCTTCAAGGGTCTCCCTACCCCTCACAGAACCCCTG